TGAATAAACAAAGCTAGACCTTTCCCCACCTTTTGCATGAGGAAAGTAATGATCTGCAGGGAGACATACATGGGAACAGCAACTCTGTGCTTACCTGCTTGTAGGCTTGTGCCAATAGATACCTTCTATTAGCTCAAGTTTTACAGGTTTTCTTGTGTTCTAGATTTTTGTAGGTTTATTCTGTTACTGTAGACTTGGCAGTTTGGGTGGGGAAAGGATATAGCGAATTGGTTTCAGGAATAAAAGTGTGTGTTTGTTTGTGTTCCGGTAATGAAACTGTAGCAGGAAGTCTCATGCTGTTTAAAAAAAAAAAAAAAAAAACCCAGACACCTGCAAAGAGTAGGTTGGAATTAATTAAAAGGAACAATGACCAGCTCTCTAATGTTTGTGAAATGAAAAAGTTAATTTATGCCCTTGTTCTGTCTGGTGCTAATAGAGGAAAACATAAAACTAAGTAGTAGATATTGTAACTTTAGAAGTGGCTGGGAAATTTTATGTACCTTTGCATGTTAATTGGGTTTGTTTCAGGATGTGACAGGGTTGAGGAGGACCAGTGTTCATCTTTATCTTACCCTGGGAATGCAGTTCGAAATTTAACTCTGACAAACAAGATCTGAAATGCATTTGCAATCAGCCACAATTATTTTAGTTTCTTATCTGTGCTCGAGTAATGTGTGTGGTTACACGCAGTGATTCCAAGAAAATGTCAGTTCTGGATCTGTTTCATTCTTTAGAGTTAGTAATTTTCTACTATATACTCCAAGCTGTGCTTAGAGTTGCCAGTGTTTTTTGTTTCATATCGTTTGTCATTTAATATTTTCCTTGAAATGAGAAGGACATTCATGCTCCCCACCCACTTTATTGAAGCTACGAAGGGATAAGAAGCATAGATGACTTCACATACAAGGTAAGGCAGTTGCTGGAAAACAGCAGCTTAAATGGCATGCCAGCAGATGTTCTTCATTCTCATACTGGCATTTGCAATTCTCAGTCATCCTTTTCACAACTTACCTTCAGTTTTGAGCAGGTATAAATAGTTGAGGCTGGTCAGAGTTGTAATACATACAGCAAAGTTATTTATTAAAAAAAAACAACCGACAGGCAAACTTGAATGGTAAGGTAACCATTGCTAGGATGGACTCTTACCACAGAGAGGGCACACACTACTATCTGACATAAAAATTGACAGATGTTGGGTGACAAAGCCCTTTAAAAGTTGAATGGCAGGTTCCAGCTCTGTCGGTTTAGATTGCTAAGTTTTGGTACAGGTGTTAAACAGTGGGAATGTTACTATTTGCTGTGTTTTCACCAGAACAAGGTCAATTGCTCTGTGTTCAAAGGATTGACACTAACAAGGTTTTGCAAGGTTGTAGAAGGACAAGAGGAGCTTCATTTTCTAAGGAAAGGAGACACTTTAATGGCACGTTTTCCATAAACACACTGTGTGAATGAGATATAATTCACATTCAATCTGGAAATGCTCCAGAAACACACAAGATGAGCACAGGCAGTAATCCTCACTGAAAATTACATACTAGATTTTAATGGTAAACAATTACAACTATGGCACTACAGTACTTGAGGATATCCTAAAGCACATTGGAATAAATTTTCAAGGTGCTGATTTACCTCATCAGTAAGACACAGACACATCAGTAAGGAAACGTTAGGGAAACTTTTGAACACCACGTGTTATGCTTTCCAATGATTTAGTAAAATCCTTCTAAATGGCCTGCTTTTGATACAAGTCCACTGTCCCTGCCTGTCTGACAGCTTTAAACTCTCCTCTTACACTGACATCTGTTACCAGCTGGAAAGCACCTTCTGACTACACAACAAGGAGCTCCCTTTGTATGTGCCTTAGAGTTTCGCATAACACTGCACTCCACAGCTCACTACACAAGACACTAAAGCAGAAGTACTCTGAGAGCTGGACATTTTGCAGTTCTTTTTTACCTAAATCATCTCCAGTTGTATACGTGGTTAAACAATTACTAACAAAAGGACAACCTTGATCAGACAAATTTTGGTGATCAATATGCAAGTCTTTGAACTGTAGAGAGCAGTTGTTGCTTGCAGAGCAGTCACAAGCAAGAAAAAAAATCTTGCCTGTTAGTGTGTACTATGGTCAGCAGTAAGTAGAAAAAAAAATTTGGCTTAAATGAAATGAGATATCCTCTCCCCTTTTCCCTCCCCCCAAGCTAGTAGATAAATATAGGATATACAAGTAAGGTTAAAAATGTAATACTAGGCCAGGTGCAGTATATGTTACTGGTTCAGTGCTCAGTTACTCTTTTTTTTTCTTTTGACACCACACTGAATAGAATACAGTGGATAAGCAAAGTTCTCCACCAGGAAGAGAAATACTTGTGTTGCCACAACAAACTGTTCATACTGTCCATCTGGGTTTGCAGTGGGAGAAAGTTAAATTAGGAAAGGATTTACAAGGTACTGGCTCCAGCGAAGCATATGGCCAAGTCCTTAGTACTGCCTGCCACGAGAACAAGCCCGACGTGATGGCGCTGTGCTCCCCTGGCCGTCTCCGACGGACCACGCAGCACGCATACCGGTGCCCAAGACCTTACATGTTACGCAGCAAACGTTACTGAAAGGAAATATGAAGTGAGAGTAGTAACTCTGACCCAAAAAAATTAACTGGAGAAGTAGGAGCTGCTTAAGTGAATGTTGCTGAAGATTACAAATTTAAGTTTCTAAAAATAGAGAAAGGCACATTTACATCACTGGTTGGCGAGAATACTGCTTCTGGCCCATCGCTAGTTGTGTATTTTAAGCCTTGTAGTCTCAGAACTAAAATTCTACAGCAGTGCAATCCAAGTAGCATGCAGAAAAAGCACAGCTATATATGTGGGCTCTACTTAACTCCCCAGCTAACTGAGCAGTAAGGCTGCCCTGCAGGGTAGGATCTAGGCAAGATACTTGGCTTGCCCCGCACGCCAGTGAAGGCTGCCAAATACCCCTTTCTGCCTGTATAAATAATGCCAGCTACCTACTCTGTTTAGAAGAAAGGCTCTGTCTGTAAGAAGTGGAGAAACAGTAGGTGACAAACTACAACTTAAAGCAATGAATAGTTCTATTTATTGCTCAACTTAAGTAAAAGAAGACATCCTTATATATATGTCACTTAAGGTATCAGATAGGTATTAACTAGTGTACAGTTTACATATTCATACGCCATTAGCAAAGCTGAATGCTTTCTGCAGTTTTATATTAATCCAGTTTCTTTCCTGCCTTGTTTAACATGCTGTGGAAAAGCAATGAAGAATGTAATTTTAAAAAAAACATCTGATTGTGACTTCTCTTTATACTGGTCAGTGTAACTTGACACATACTCTTTGTGTGCACCAGGCTGAGCTATACTA